CCCCAGCCCTGATACCATCCTCATCACGGTTACCATTCGCTGGTTCCACCCTCTGCCTCGGTGCTCCCCATGCCAGGCAGGCCTCTCGCATATAGAAAACTCCTATGTATGCTTGAGAGCCCTGACTCCTAACTCCACTTTCTCCCCCACCCCCGGGCATTTTTTCTGAGGGCTTCGGCATTCTTTCCCATTCTCTCCGCAGCCTGGCGGGAATCATTGTTGTACTCGTGTTGCAGGTGAGGAAACAGGGCCAACGAAGGGCCCTGCCTGCCCGAGGTCCCAGAGCCCAGGGGGGACAGAGGGGGTATGTGAGTGCCGGCAGTACTGTTGAGGCCGGCTCCAGCCCTCCACCCTGGGTGGTGGTGGAAGAGGAGGGAGGTAAATCGTGGCGTACAATGTTGGCAGCCTTGTTGGCACCCTGGGGCTGGGTCTGCATTCTGGGCTCCCACAGGCCGGGGTCGCCCTCCAGGACCTCCAGCCTCCTTCTGGGTCCCAGTGAAGTCTCTGCTCTTGGTCGGACAGGTGTCAGTCTGACAGCAGAGAGCCAGCTGCTGGCAGCCCTCCTCCTTCCGTCTGGACGGTTCGTGGCCTGACCCCCTTCAAGGAGCCCCTTTGGGAGGGCAGGGATTCAATGAGGAGGCTGAGGATGGAGCCCTGGGGGATGGGGCACTCCTCTCTGGGGCTCAGTTTTATTTGGGGGATGGAGGGCTGGGAATGAGCTCTGAGAAGGCCCTTTCTCTGCTGGGGCTGCCAGGTGGGTCAGAGCCTGGGGCACCTCCTAGGGCTAAATTGGGCAACCCCAGGTGTCCATTAGGCACCCTAGGGCCCTGATTCCAGGGGCAGCCTAGGGGCCAGCTGAGGGGACCACGATGAGAGGGTGATGTGAGCTCTACTTTGGGGCACAAGGGGGCTACCTGCTACATGGGTGCAGAGGGGTGCGCAACCGAGTGGGGGACCCGGAAACTGACAATTTGCAGTTCAGTGACCAAGAACAAGGGCAGGAAAACAAAGCAGGGGCAGAGTGTGGAGAGGGGCAGGGAGGGGGAAAGCCCCAGATTGAGGAGTGAGGAGGGAAGGAGGCCCCAAGGAGGTGGCTCTTAGGATGAGGCCTGAAGGATTCAAGGGAGCCACAGAGGGATTTGCGTGAGTGTGGCAGGCACGGGGCTGGGGGAAAGGGGGTGCGCAGCGCACAGCCAGTGCAAAGGCCCAGAGGCCAGCATGGCCTGGAGCCTGAGGCACAGAGCAGGAAGGCCTCCAGGGACTGTGGAGGGCAGCGAGGCCTGCCGCGTGGCTTCCCGGTGAGGGTGGTGGAGAGGCCAGCAGTGGGCAAGCCCGGCACTTCTCCACCTGCCTTGTGTTTGGGAGGGAGCCTGGAGGAACCGGGGCCCAGAGAGGGAAGCCGCCTGCCCAGCCCTGAAGCCCAGCCAGGCCTCCCCACCCCCCTCTGGCGGCCTGAGAAACCTGAGGCGCGGGCGGGCGCAGTGCCAGGCCCAGGCGGGGGAGGGGCTGCCAGGCCCGCCCGCTCCGGCAGCTGCCAGCCCGCCCCGAGCCGCCAGCCCAGATGGTGCCCATCTGGTGACGCGGCCTCGGGCTGGCCTCCCGTTCCCGCCTTGTGCAGTGCCAACCGCCCAGAATGGCGCTGTGGGCAGGGGCCGGCTTGGGAAGCTTGTGGCTGCAGGAGGGGCTTCCGGGGTGCCCCAGGGAGGGTCCCTAACTCCTCCTGGATGGAAGCAGGAAGCAGGCCATCGCAACAGAGGTATTGGTAACAGCCAACGCGTGCCGCGTGTGCCAAGCACTGCGCACCCGGTTCTGAGCTCATCCCATGTTATAGCTCGTTCCATTCTCTCCACCGGCCTGCCAGCGAGGGACTGTCAGCTTCTCCCATGCGACGGGTGGGGAGGCGGGCCCAGAGACCCTCCGCCGGGGGCCCAAGTTCACACAGCCCCTGCGAGGTTGAGCAGAATTCAAACACACAGAATCCTGAGTCCTCAAACCTGAAAGGAAGAAAAGAAACTGGAAAATACTCTGGAGGTTGTTGGGTGGTACCCACACCCTCCCAGTCCTGCCGCCCACGAGAACAGGGGGTGCTGGACACATGGGGAATGAATGAATAAGGAGCAGTGAGCCACGTCCCAGAGCCCACAGGCGGCCAAGCCTGGGGGCCAAGGTAACCATCAAGTGCAGCCCGGGCTCAGATGGCAGGAGAAAGGGCCTCAGTCCACAGCAAGGGGGCCTGGGTCAGCCACAGGTCTGCCCATGGTGTGCTGTGTGACCTAGGGCAGGGCCCAGCCCTCTCTGGTCTGAAGGCAAGAAGGTGGGGCCTTGTGGGGTACGGAGAGGAGCAAGCTGGCCCCCGACCGAGGGCCCCCCTGCCTCCTCCACCCCCCTTAATCTTCATCCCAGCACTGGGTCCTTGGGAGACGGAGGGTGGGAGGGCCCCCATTTATGTGGGTGACGGACACAGTTTATGCCCGTGCTTGCTGCAGGCCCTGTGGGATGGATTCTTGTCTCAAGCCCTGGTTTCCCGTCTGTAAATGAGGAGTGTGAGAACCGCGTCTACCACACTGAGGACTCGAGTCAGTGACCTCAAAAAGCATACAGGAAGCACTACATAAACGCTCAGTCCTTTCTTGGATCCTCTTCCCCAGCTCCAGGAGACAGTGGGGGAGGGGGGGGCACCTCAGTTCTGCTCTGCGACCCCGGGCCTTGTTCTCCCCTCCCAGGGAGCCCACGGGGGCACCTGTGACCCAGGACGGGCTCTCCACTGGCAGCAGGCCACGTCACCCGCTCCAGGTGTCTGGGTGGCGGAGGGGTG